AATTAGGGATATTAAATATATTAGAATCGCCAACATTTTTTAACCAAGTCTCAGTTAACATTAAAATATCAAAAGCTTTCTCCTCAATTAGTTCATTAAAATTAGTGAACAGAGATCGTACATTCAAGTGACCAATTTTAAAAGCATTGTTTTTAATATAATCGTAGTAACCAATATTTAAAAAAAGAAAAACAGTATAAAGTAGTTTTAGAAAAAAATAAACAAATATATATACGTTATATATATACTAAGTGACATATAAATCCGAACACCCTGTTTAAATGGTTTTATTTTAATAAAATTTTGTATAAGTACTTAATGAAGCATAATAAGTAAATGATAAAAATTTCAAAATGATTGCACTGCTTTAAAGCCCTTTGAACTTTAATAATGTGTGGATGCACCCTGATGTGCTACGCATTCTCCAACGCGCCTAGGCATGCTTCTGATCAGGTGGTCAATGTCCTCCTGTGGTATCTCATTCCAGGCAACCACCAACTCCTCTCGAAGTGCTTCTAGAGTCTGAGGAGGACGTTGCAAATTGAGCAATCTCCTACCCATCATATTCCACACGTGCTCAATTGGGGATAAGTCGAGAGATCTTGGTGGCCATTGTAACAATGTGACATCATTATGTTGAAAGAAGTCTATTGTGACTGTTGCAACATGTGGTCGGGCATTATCTTGTTGGAAAGTTGGATGTGCCAGGGTGTCAAGATAGGGTAAAAGATGGGGTTCTAGAACTTCGTGGATATAACGCTGCGCGTTCATGTTACCTCTGATGAAGATTAAAGGTGACCTGGAACCATAAGCTATAGCACCCCAAACCATTACTCCAACAGTGTGATGAACATGTCTTTCAATAAAAAACTGTGGATTCCTCCTTTCACCACGTCGCTTTCTAACCCTGGCACGACCATCGTGCATGCCTAAACAAAATCGAGACTCGTCACTAAAGACAATACTGTGCCATTCCTGATCCCAGAGTGACCGTTGTCTGCACCACTCAAGGCGATTACGTCGGTGTTCTCGAGTTAAAGGGAGGACCCAGTGTGGCCGGTATGAAAACAAGCCAAAACTTCTCATTCGTCGGTAAACACTTCGCATGCCAATAGGTCTTCCGTGTTCTGCAAACCATTCATTTGCAATGGACCTGGTAGTGAAGAAACGGTCCCTTAAGGCCAATAATCTTAGGCGGCGATCTTCACGGTCTGTTGTTCTACGGCGGCGTCCAGTGCCCCTTGCTCTTTGCGTACGGCTTTCTCGAAGCCATGCCTGACAACAACTAACCACAGTGTCTACACTTCTTTGCACTCTAACTGCAATTGCCCGAAAAGAAAGTCCAGCTTCCCGAAGTCCCACTATACGGCCCCTATCAAACTCACAAGTTGACGAAATCGTACAGGTCTCCGTACTCTAGGCATCGTAACCGATCGTAAAGGATGTCAAGAACCAAAATCCGCCAACGTTGATTCTTTACTGCGGCTGAAATATTCATTTTTAGTAAATTAAAAAAAAGCAATATAAAAACCGGAATGTCCAACTGATAAGGCTGAAACTTTTTTCACTTGTTATTTACAGTAAGATAAATACATTCACCAACTTTTATTAAAATAAAGCCATTTAAACTGGGTGTTCGGATTTATATGTCACTTAGTATATATTCCAATTGAAGTTTAAATACAGATGCCGCAAATATAAGGCCTAGCCCACGTATACAGTATACAGATATGTCTATTGCCCAGTTATGTTAGTTTTTAAATACTTTAACACAAAAATACAACAGTATCATTCGATATTTACAAATTAATATGTATTGCAAAGCAAAAAGAGCAGAGCATTTTTTTTATTTATGACAATATGTAGGTTTTCCGTTAATTCTTGATACGAAAAGTACCGCTCGAATTTGAATGACTATTTTGAGCCAAGTACTACTATGCCAATAACCAGAATATATATATACAATGATAGTGGATTGCAAGTTGAACGCAAAAAGAAGGAAAACTAATTAAACTTGAAGATTTCCATTGAAATATTTTTGAAGTCATTGGCACCCTAAGGACCTTAGTGTGGAGGGGAAACGTTAGAAAAAATGCAACAAATATCTATGTGTATGGTGAATGTACGCTTATTATGATTGTTGACAGCATTGCATGAAAAGCACATAATCAATCTACTTCACGCCTCTTTTTATGCTACCTTTTCTGCTTTATTTGACTACCTGGGCGTTAAACGCATTGATTTGTTAATTTACTTGCAGCCTTATTTATTGACTTCGTTCAAGCTAATTTCCACCACATTTAATATACTTCTCCATCCGACAAGACCAGTCCTTAAACCAGCTTTCACCCGGGTGTGCGGTACACCCGTTGTCCCAGGCCCTCAGAAGGTCCTCATCGCTAGAAAACCATTTTCCTTTTAGCTTCATTTTCAAATGCGGAAACAGTGCAAAGTGGCAGGGAACAAGATTTGGACTGTAAGGAGTGTGCTCAATAAGTTTCAGTATAGTAGTGGTTAAATACTAGGTGCAGGCTTTGGCGCGGTGGTACAAAGTCTCCATTCTTGACTTTGGTCGCAGGTTTTTCATAGACTCTATGACTTCAGACAGGCACTGTTCCGTGTACCACTTAGCTGTAACTGTCTTCTGTGTATCCAAAACGACACGCGCCACAATCCTGCTCTATTTGAAAAATACGGGATTTTCTGACAACTAAGAGTGTGTCCTCATCATCAAAGACTCAAACTTTGTTTTCAGCCTTGGTCGGCACATCGTAATAATAGAGCCAAGTTTCGTCACTTGTGACCATGTTGCTCACGTACCGAGATTGCCCTTTATCAAACATTTTCAGCATTTTTCGGCACCAAGTCGTACGAAGAGCCTTCTGCTCTTCCGTCAGACTATGCGGTACCCACAGAGAACAAAGTTTCCTTACGTGTAAATGGTCATGCAGAATGGAATGAATTGTTGGTGCATGAAGGTGTAAGGTCTCTTCTATCTGTTGGTACTCTCCAGTCTTCGCCAAGCATTTTTCTCGTAGCAGTAATGTTTTTCTCTGTTACTAACGTTCATGACTTTCCTTTCCTCTCATCGTTCGGGAGAGTGAAATTGCCTCTTCTAAACACTGGTCTATGCTTAAATCACGCGTAGAGTTACGCCCTAAATCTGCCCTTACCTCACTACGTGACCACGATGCCATGGTCTGCACTTTACACTGTCAATCAGAATGAACAACTAAATCAACAGACGTACTGCTTGCGGCTACTATGTACTCATGGACATGTCTCAACATGCAGTAACATACAGCCCGCTGCGTCCGTTTGTTAGGTCATATTGCAAAACTTTTATAGTTCCCTTTTATTCTCATGGCCTATGGCAAATATCATACCAAATTCACCGTAGACAGCACCTGTAAGGCTCCCAATCTCGCAATTGTCAAACCGCGGATCGTCTTAAAACAAACCTCCGACCATATAATTGCCGTTAATTTTATTTATAGGCGGGTTACCATTTCGGTATTCGGTCGCACACTACAAAAGAGCAGCAAAGGCCGGGCCATTTTAATTACTGCCGTAAAGTTAAATCAGAATTCCATATAAATAATGGAATTTTTAATTGTACACAGTAGGAGATCCACATATATCTCCGAGGAAGCGAGGCACACATATTCGGTAACATTCGGAGCTTCCACTCTCGGCTTTCGGAACCTTTGTTTCTTCAGCTCACCACTGACGTTTGTGGGTGTTTTATCGTTATAGTATTCCGACGACTTATTAACAATTTCAGAGTCTAGGCGCATTAATTAATGCGGCGATAATCAGCGAATATAATGTTCAATCGTGAAGACATTCCTCCGTTGAATGTATAAATGAGAAAGAAAGGATCAGAGGCAATTTGGACGTCTACCTACTATGAGACCTGGGTCAAGCAGCATTTCATGAAATGCTCACATTTCATGAACTGGTGAAAGTGATTGAAACTGGGCTTGTTTTTGTCAACCAATTATCATCTCATCTGATGATCACAAAACATCAGGAGACTATCAAGAAGTTAACACAAAACACGCAATTCCTTGTCACGTAGCCCTTCTATCAGTATTGTACTGCTCCAAACACTCAATTTGTTCAGTCGTTTCAGACGGCCTTTATTAAGTATTATGTATATCGAAATCCAGTTGGCGCTTTCATAAAATATGGTCAATTCTGCGATAAGGCTACAACCTATACATACTCGTATATATATATATATATATATATACTATAAGACTTCAATATTTCGAAAAATGGAAGTATGACGTGAATCCACACACCCAAGACCAAAAGAAATACTAGACTTCTCCATTAGACAACGTATCGCCGAGAATTCGATAAAGGCGTATAAGAAAAACGTGCCAGAAGTCCAAAAAGAAAAACAAAAATATTGAAATCCGATGACCTAAATGACAAATCTTGGATATAATAAGGTGATTCTCTGTAATTTTCTCATATATTCGATGAAGCTGCTATATTTCATCAAAATTTAACAAAATTGATCAACACGTTATTAGGACAGAAAACTGACTCCCTTATCTTGAAAACCAAGCAGTTCCAGGCATAAGTATATATAAGGGAGAGTGGGGGAATTGTGCACACCGGTTGATTGTGCGCATTGCATTCCTCCCTTAAATATTAAATATTACTCAGTCTAACAAGTGCTGCCACCTAGCAGGCGACGTATCAAGTACGGCATATGCTTGAAATCGCGTCTATTTCAGTTAGTTTGTGAACGTTTTGCATCGATTGCACATGTTGTTTGGTTATAATTTTGGTACCTGATTCTAGAAGGTAAGCTATCTGTTTATTCTAATAGATTTTTAGCATGTGTAGTCATAATTAGTAGGCATTTAGGCATCTTTTTATATGAATTAAATAATGATGGAGCGATTTTTTGTTTCTGCTATGACAAGTTTTTGCAAATAATGCCCCACATAGGATTAAATGATAATTTTTTGTTTCTTTAACAGATGCCACGAAATTACATACGGAAGACAGAAAAGAATTCCTGGGATCCAGAAAATTTGAAGAAAGTGTTAGAGGAAATTAGATATGGCAAGAAAATAAGAGAAGCTGGCCAGGCATTTAATATACCAGAGTCAACATTATGAAAGCAAATGACAAAAGAAAATCCTGAATCATCGCGCCTTGGTCGTAAGCCAGTATTTTCCCCCGAGATTGACGCCCAACTAGGAGTACGTGCTTACACTTGCCAACCTGTTTTATGGTTTGACGCCCACACAACTTCGTCAGCATTTAGATATGCAAAAGAATATGATATAGTACATGTTTTCTCATCCGAAATGCAAATAGCTGGTAAAGACTGGTTATATGGATTGCTGAAACGAAATCCTGAAATAAAACTTATGCAGCCGGGGGGCACTAGCATAAATAAAATTGGTTCCTTCAACTCCGAATCAACTAAGAAGTTTTTTGAAGATCTCAAAGCGGTAATGGACAAACATAAGTTACCTCCAAACAGGATTTTTAACATGTATGAGACAGGGGTCACCGTAGTCCAAAAAAAGTCTCCAAAAGTTTATGGACGCAAGGGTACAAAAAAGGTGGGAGCTTTTATATCGGCGGAACGCGGGCGAACAATAACAGCTGTATTTGCAGTTATTGCTGGAGGTAACTATTGTCCACCTATGTTAATCTATCCTAGAAAGAGGATGTCCCCAGCCCTACAAAAAATGGACCAATTGCAGCTCTTTATGCCAGCTCTAAAAATGGATGGATCAATTCGGAGCTGTTCGTTGAATGGTCTAAACATATTGAAAAAAACGTTAATCCCACAGAAAACGATACTGTTCTGCTAGTTCTAGATAATCATTCCAGTCATATATCCATAGAAGCTTATTTATTCTGTAGAATCAAATTTATCCACATGGTTTCTTTTCCACCTCATACTTCTGACCACCTTCAGCCACTGGACTTAACATTTTTTGGTCCTTTAAACAACCAACTCTCTATTGAATATGATCTACAGTTTACCAATACGGGACATGAAAGAATTTCAGAATACGACTTGGCTGAACTTTTAAATAGAGCATTTTCAAAAGTAGCTACTATGAAGAAAGCTATTTCTGGTTTTAGAATTGCTGGAATATATCCATTAAACCCGGATAAATTTACCGAGGAAGATTTTGCTCCTGCAAATCAAATAAGACCCCTGATAATTGAAGTTTCTATACCCGATACTGTGAGCGATATTGAGAGACCATCAACACCCATTGCTGGGCCTTCTACATCACGAGAGTCTCCAGTAAATCAGTATAAAGCAGGTAATTCATCGCAACAAGACAACTCGTTTTTCAGCTTTGCTCCGATTCCAAAAAAGAAATCAAATCATGAAGATCCAAAGAGAAAGACTCTTAGTAAACAGTGCTCATTTTTTTTTTTTTTTTTGGTGAGGGGGGGAATGCGTTTATGCACCATACCATAGCCCGAGCTACGGCGTGTGTGGGACTCCAGGTTGTCTTGAGGAGACCACCTAATACCCACTAAACCCTAACCTCCGCGTGGCCCGACTCATCAGCGTCTCCGTAGGCCATGTGTTGTGCGTGACCTGCGGTCTGCTACAACGTCTCCTCATGTGTTTCAGTCTCTGGGAAGGCCGGGTTGGTTCCCTTTACCTAGCACATTCTATCGATGTCACTAAGCGATCATCGATAGAGGGTCTGCTAGGTTCTCTTGAAACTCTTGTTTTCGAAAAATCAAGAGTTTCAAGTCCTCTTACCTATATATTGTTCCTGGTCCTGGTCCTGGTAGGTCCTGGTCGTGGCGGGTCCTGGTCTTGGTTGGTCCTGGTCCTGGCGGGTCCTGGTCCCGGTGGGTCGTGGTTCCTGGTCCTCTGCATTCACGCCGTGGGGGGGGAGCAACCACGGGTTCTCCTAGTCTCCTAGTCAAGGTTCCAGTTAGCGGGTGCCAACTGGGACCTTGGTCTAGGGTACCTGGTTCTGCGGTTGCGAGGCCTCTCGTCCGGATCGTAGTCCATGAGGAATCGTAGCTGCTCGTTCGGGTGGTCCTGAGCTTTCTGGAGGGTCTTCTCCGCTTTTTTCCTCATGTACTCGTGAATGGTGTCCCAATGCAGGTCTCTACGCAAGGTTTCTTACGTAGGATGGTGCACTGGTGGCGATCCGGAGTAGCTTCATCTCTAGAGCAGCAAGTCGCTTGCGGTAGCTGGGGGCAGCGTACCCCCAGACCGCGGAGGCGTAAGCGAGCCGAGGTCTGGCGATGGCCCTGATCAGCCGTAGCTTGGTCGCTAGCGGCATCCGGCTGTGTCTACCCAGTAATGGGTAGAGTTGAGCCATGACTGCTCTGGTCTTTGCGATGACAGCTTCTATGTGGTCTTTCCAGGTGAGGGACTTGTCAAATACGATCCCCAGATATTTGACTTTGTCGCTCCACTGGATATCTTTGTCGAAGATGGATGCTTCGAGAGGTCTTGCAATCCTTCTTCGTTGGATGAAGATTGCCTGCGTCTTCTGGACGTTGATGCGGATTTTCCATTTCACGCACCAGTCCTGGATGTGGTCCAGTTCATCCTGTTGTCTCCTACGGATGATCTCGGGTCGTCGATGCTTGGCGGCTATAGCAGTGTCGTCTGCATATAGGGCCAGCATTGTGTCAGCTATCTTCGGTACGTCGTGAGTATAGATGTTGAGAGGAGGGGGGCTCAGGCTGACCCCTGGGGCACGCCTGCTTCCAGCTGTCGTCTTGTTGAGTGGCATGTACCAATCTTCACCGTGAACCATCTTTGTGTTAGATAGCTCTGGATCAGTTGGCACATGTTTGCATCGATTCCGGTGGCTTCCATTTTGGCGATGAGTCCATCGTGCCAAACTCGATCGAAGGCTCGTTCCACGTTTAGCAGGACGAGGCCGGTTGCCTCCTGGAGATTGTAGCCGCTGGTGATGTTTTCTGTCAGTCGTAGCGCTTGGAGTTCCGTGTTGTGGGAGGATCTGAAGCCGAATTGCGATAGCCTTTTCGACTACTTTGCCCATCGAGGAAACCAGGCTGATGGGCTCAGTGCTCAGAATCACATCGACCCCTTTTAAAGAACATCTAGAAAAAGCCGCGGAAAATGGAAGAATGACAGCAGCCAAGAAAATTAAAAAGAAACTTAACGGATACAAAGAAGAAAGAAGACATTGTAAAAAAAAAGAAATTGGTTACTAAGAAAAAGAGAAGGTTGTCAGAAACAAGTAGTGAATCTGATATTAGCAATGCCGCCTGCGATGACGACGACGAAGACGAGTTTGATCATTTTGACGATGCTGAACGTAGAGATAACCTTAATGAAGAATGTGGTATTTGTGGAAAGTTCGGTCGGGATCGGGAGCTATGGTACAGATGCGTTGGCTGTTCCACATGGAATCATGCAGCATGTAGTGGTGCTGATCGAGCTGAAGGTTACCTATGTGATTATTGCCACTGGTAATTAAAGTTATGTTTAATAGACTTAGATAAACTTTTATGTTAGTAAGATGTTGATAAACACGTAATAAAAGTTCTTGATTTGTTATTTTTCGTTATTAAAAAATATTTAAAATAATGCGCACAATTCCCAACCTTCTGCGTACAATTACCCCATAGGGTGTGGAATTGTGCACACATCACTTTTTTGTTTTTTTCTTATACTACATTGTTCTACAAAAAGTAAAAGAATATTTCTTTTTACATAATAAAAGTATAATAAATGCTCTTTAATTGTCTATAAGTATGAGTGTAATAAGGTCAATGGTCTAGTCATGGAAGGACATCTTGCTTAGGTGCGCACAATTCCCTCACTCACCCTTACATTTTTTTCCCTAAAATTACCCAAGAAATCACTCCTTAAATTTCGTCCACATTTTTAGTCGCCTTGCGCTGCGCGGGTTCGAATCCGCTCCCAAGAGAATTTCTCTCTTGGCTATGGATGTTGTGATTGCCCTACCCAGTTTCCTGGGGTTTGTAAGAAAAACTATAGAGATTCAACTTTGAAGGTGCAAGATTGTGAATGTGGTCAAAAGACAATACAAGGCGCGGATATATTGAATTCTGGAAATGTATTTTAATATATTTTCTCTAATACCAGATCTCACTAGTTGCAGTCCCAATTTTTTATTACCTTCCTAAGAAACGTTACAGGTCAACGAATTCGGTCTAGTTAGAAGGAGCAAGTTTACGATTTACTTGTAACCAAAATTACGTACTTAGAGGTCAGGATGCAAGTTCATACTACAAGTCGATCAAGGGCTAGCCGCTGATTGACAGTTCTCGACGTTTCACACTAAATTCATATTTTTCTGTGAAAACATAAACGTTCCTACAATCTTAGTGTTCCAGGCAGTTACAGACAATAGCGAACCTTTCTGTGCATTGCAAAAAGCAGTTTAAGCCCCAAAAAAGTAAAGTTTTTTGTGGATAATTGTTATATATATATATATATATATATATATATATATATACTAAGTGACATATAAATCCGAACACCCAGTTTAAATGGTTTTATTTTAATAAAATGTTGTATAAGTACTTAATGAAGCATAATAAGTAAATGATATAATATAATTTCAAAATGATTGCGCTGCTTTAAAGCCCTTTGACCTTTAATAATGTGTGGAGTCTGAGGAGGACGTTGCAAATTGAGCAATCTCCTACCCATCGGGAGAGTCGGGAGATCTTGGTGGCCATGGTGACAATGTGACATCATTATGTTGAAAGAAGTCTATTGTGACTCTTGCAACATGTGGTCGGGCATTATCTTGTTGGAAAGTTGGATCTGCCAGGATGTCAAGATAGGGTAAAAGATGGGGTTCTAGAACTTCGTGGATATAACGCTGCGCGTTCATGTTACCTCTGATGAAGATTAAAGGTGACCTGGAACCATAAGCTATAGCACCCCAAACCATAACTCCAACAGTGTGATGAACATGTCTTTCAACAAAAAACTGTGGATTCCTCCTTTCACCACGTCGCCTTCTAACCCTTACACCGACGTAATCGCCTTGAGTCGTGCAGACAACGCTCACTCTGGGATCAGGATGGAACAGTATTGTCTTTAGTGACGAGTCTCGATTTTGTTTAGGCATGCACTATGGTCGTGCCAGGGTTAGAAGGCGACGTGGTGAAAGGAGGAATCCACAGTTTTTTGTTGAAAGACATGTTCATCACACTGAAGCAGAGTGAATAAGATTTTGTAAAGGGATCTCAAAAATGTTGCACGTCGTCAACCCACGTTCTGACTCATGTTATCTAATTGAAATATCTAAGAATTTCCATTCTAACCCTAGAAATCGTGACTACTGACCAAATTTCTACCGCAATATACCAAAACCTAGTAAGTCAACTTACTAGACTTTACAATTTTGTCATTTTTGGAAAGCTCGTAAAATTTTGAAGGTTTTTCTCTCACTCAGCCGCATTCTAAGTCACTCGAACTACAATTAAAAACCCAACAAATCATTTCATATCTACTTTCCAGGTTTTAAAGTTTTTTTCCTGTATGAAGTTATGTGACAGGCTCCATAGAAAGTGCACTTGCTATTTTTTGCTTGATTCTTATGCCGTTATTTTAAGGCAGTTGGTGCGTTTGGGCGCGGCCGCTAGGGCGGTCCCCTAATAGTGTCCGAACCGGTATAGAATGTATATTGGTGGAGCTGGCCGACAACCGTTTTGGTTAGATTGCAGTTCAAAAAATATACAATAAAGTATTTTGAACCAGGCCGTTCACTGATGTCAGCATAATCGGTTCATGGACGAATAATACGAAAAAAAAATATAGAATATAATATACATATATACCTCTCATTGAAACAATCTGACATACCCAACATTCCTAAATTCAGTCATGAAGGAAACCTTTTAAAAAGTGACTAGCAGCCTTAAGATGGAGTATGTAGCCTTGCTATTTTATGTTCTATTATTTTTCATCTAAATATTTGTCTTTTGATTAGTAAGTCGACTTGTTATTTTTTACGTTCACCTTCCAACGTAATAACTTTATTTAAAAAAATCTTGGCAACCTATTATTCCTTTTTTAATTTTCAAATCGACATTTTGTACAAACTAGTAATTTGACTTACTTTTAAATTTGGTTCTAATCAACGAGCCATGAAAAAATCATAGCTCGGTAGTTTCTTATCAGAAATAATGAAACTGATGGCATTGATTTTAGATAAGTTATAAAGTAATTTTAAGATCTGTTTCGAACTTGCCTTGGTTTCGTAATTATTCCACTTTTATCCTATTGGTCTCATTCTGAATGATCCTCCATTGACTACATTTGTCGGCACCTGCTTGATTCATTTAGTCTCCCCAGGAACGAGACACGGGGTCAAACAGATATACTTTTTAATTGTCTGGGTATAAAAATAAATAGCCCCATAGTTAGGCAGGTATAAACCTATAAACTCACATTTATATTTCGGAATTATAAAAATTCTCGTTTCGTCGGCTACCATGGAGACCATTAGGGGATATTTATGGTACGCAAATGAGAGTTTCGAATAATTAAGAATATAAAATTATTCTGGAGGATATTTTCTTGAATAGCCTCTGTGTATATGGAAGCCGGCGTTGAATATTTATAATATAGGTCTTATAATGGAGTTTTTCTTTTGATTGTACCTTTGTTCCAGCTTCATTATCAAGATTATATGAAATGAAAAAGTTCGGTCAAATGGGTTTTACAAATAATAGTGGCGGTTTAAGTATCAATTAATCTCAAGCAAAAAAGTTTCGATTTGATCTATATGTATAATATCTTGTTTCTTCATAGGCCATAGGCCTTGAAGGTTTAGATATAATCAAAAAACATATGCTTATGGCCTTCTCTTAAGTAGATCAAAAATGTGAAGAAAGAAGAATTTAGTATGTTGGTTTTCTGTCTTGCTGCTTTCCCAGATCTGATGATCTAAATTCTTAATTATTTCATTCCAACACATGATACATGACACCCTGCTGCCAACTAAATATCTACCGGATTAACCCAAAAACCACAATCATGATTTACACGTTAGCTATTCCGAAATTTAGGGTTCCGTCGGTTCCTAAGTGGCGCCACGTGTATGCGGGTGGTCATTGCGGTATAGAATTACCCGTCGTTTGACGGTCCTTGAAAAAATTTATGTGACAATCGCTGGTGCCATGTCTTCTGTGCGAGGCTACCGTTTTTATCACCTTCTAGTCACAATTGGACCCCTCGAACCCACACCAAGCACGGACGCTCATCGAATGTCATGTTCCAGAAATTTAAGACTTTTCACTATCTATCGGATAGATTTGCTATTATCGTGTTTCGAAGAGACATGGGTTGGGTGGATGAACGGTAAACGAGATGGTTGAGGTTGGGACCACACATTTGTGACTAATTTTGCTCAACATGTATCTTATTTGTGATAAATGCAGCTTCTATGGTCAGCCATAACCATTACGGAATCTACATAGATGCATTTTTTGTAACAGTTGCAAATATCAGTAATGCAATATTTCGCATAGCGATATCAACATTTCTCAGGATGCCCCACCGAATGGTGGCCAATTTCAGATGGAGACTAAAATTCGATGTAAATATGTTTCACAAAAGATACAAAAACGTTACATAGGATAATAATATGATTAAATATTACGTAGAACCTAATTGTTGCCTTTTACAATGTTACTCTTTATAGGTAGACAAATAACAACCATACGCTTTTCTTATTGTTTCACACGCATTTTCGAACATTTTCAAATCTCAAATAACTTTCTCTTAGATTTGGTGATGTATTCAATACGTAATCCATATGAGTTTTTTCCGCAGACTTGTCTGTTGATCCATCTATATCTTATAGTTATTTTACTCTTACATTCGCTAAAACGGCTGCACTGTTTGGATTTGGGCAATGTTCCTTTTTTTTAATACGTTTTATGGTAGCAGAATTACAATCAAAACAGAAAACAGCTTCAGGTTGATCCAGAAGTTCGTTTTCCTGTGCTTTCAAACTTCCCGAAAAGAATTTTTGGAGAGGCTACAGTTTTGAAAAACGTTGGAAATTTGATTTTGTCGCTTTTAATTAGTCAGGGTAGATCGTAGTAGAACACATTACTATGAGATTCAATAATCTCTAATCTTCTGTGAAGCTTATTCTTGATGCACATAATTATAAAAAACAAACTGAAATAGAACGTATTTGTCAAAGATCTTCAATTTGAACGTGCGTGAATACGTGGGTAGTACCGAGTCAATCTACTTGACACTATTCTATAACTGAAGAGAATTTCAATGTTTCGAGATTATCTGCCTGAAGATAGTAACAGGTCTTATAGTAATAGTTGTCTCATATACGTCCTAAGATGGTTCAATCACACTCAATTTCGTATGCTTCACCTGTTGCAGTTGTAGCCTGGAGGGTCAAAAGCAGAAGACGCCCAATTATGACCTCACCATACGATCTAAATACTTAACAGTTGAGAAGTTATACTTTGGAGAATGACCTAAAATGTTCGTGAAATTGTGGATAACACTACGCATTTTTTCTTTCACACAACGGGGCCTCTGTAAGGTGGGAGGCCCATATTGTTTGTAGGGCGATTGCTATGCCCCCGAGTGCACCTATGGCTCAACCTAATGGTAGGTAGTTCTTAAATAAACGCAAGTACAGTTTTAAAGCTTCATTCATCCACAAAATGTTCAAGTACCCAGGGAGTCGCAGAATAGGTGACAATTTCTCGAATGCAGGTAAAACACAAAACAATAATGCCACAGATTCCTATAAAGAAGTGTCTGTCCTACGAGGGTTCCCTATGATGGAACATGCCTCTGAAGGATGATACAAGAAATTGATTTTACGTCAATAACTTATCAATGGCAATGTGTAATTCAAAGATTTTTTTGCATGGTGGTGTTCATGCATAACACATATCTCATTTTAATAACCAGAACTGGACTAGCACTAACGAACTATTGTCGATATTCGACTCCCCGTGTAATAATGTCAGTTGAATGCTGTTTTCGGAAAGCTTAACCAACCCCTTTGCGTAAAAAAGTATTCTTCTCTCAGTACAGTTTCCACTGATTTCCCTTGCTGGCGACCTACATAAAGTGCAGCACTCATCTGACATTCAATAAATACCTAAAAATGTGTACCCAGGAATTTTTTGATTTCGAACCATCATAGTGTATCTAGTATCAAATTTGATAATAATGTGCAAATGCCAAACCAATTTTTTCAAAAATCTTATCATGTCGATAATCCCCCATATTTTTCTGGCCAATCGAAACCACATGTATTTAAAAAATCTTTATTGTAAACGTTTCAGTACAATGACTCAGATACAGCGTGGCCGATATGTAACTGACTGGTTTGTATCTTGAATATTTGTCAAATGAAATAAAACATGTCCATTTTTTCCATCTTATTGTTTTATTGAAACTTAGAAATTAAGTATGAAAAATAATATCAGACAAATGTCCGCCTCTAGAAGCCCCGCAGACCTGAGCCCTCTTGGTTACATTTTCCATTACTTTATGGTAGATTTCGACAGACATATTTTCACTCGCTTCGGTAATATTGTTCTCAAAGGATTCATTGTTCCCTAGGTGTGTGACAAGTTGCTCCGTCCTGCTGGAACCACATGTTTTGCAGGTTCAATTATTGTAAGAGAATTACCTGCAGCGTCTTCAAAGGAGTAAGGTCCAATGACACCTCCATAAAAAACACCCCAGCAAACTGTGACTGGATGAGGATGTAGTGGTCGTTGATGGATGACACGAGGGTCCTCTAATGAAAAAACACGACAATTCTGCTCATTAACAAATGCGTTCATATCGAAGTGGGATTCATTTCTCATTATCGGCGGTCGGTAAAAATCGTTATTTTGAGTATAAGCTGCAATATTGCATGACTGTATTGTCGGCGACTTTCATGGTCACTAGGCTGTAGTTCTTGGCTTAACTGTATTTTATATGACCGCAAATGCAAGTCTTGAGAACGATGTCTGGTAGACGTCTCAGGCTAACTCCACTACAATTTCACAAACTCTCTCGATGTTTTCCGGAGTACGAACAGTTTGAACACGTCCCGACCTTGGCAAGTCTTTAACTTCACCTGTTTGTTCCTATTTCCACAACAACTGACGAATGGTGACGCTGGGCACATTATATCGACCGAAATCTTGTCGTAGCTTCCGAATCGTTGCAACAATCGACTCTTTATTCAAGTAAAACGTTTTATCAATATGGACGCGTTGTGGGATCGTGTAGCGCTCCGTGATGAATTGGACACATGTGCTTTAAACAAGTGCTGCGGCGCTACCTACTGAAATGGGTGTATCAAAAATGGCGCGCAATTTAAATAAGTCAGTTACATATTGGCCACTATGTATAATAAATACAATATTATATTGCCGATGTCATTGTACTCGAGAAGGTCACCGTTGTGACCGAAACGTTTAGGATGAAGAAGACTTTTCAACAGTAGCAACTGGAAGGCAGATAATAACTTGTTCACATGGTTACCACAATATAAAGCACTAATTTTCAAAAGCTTGGATGAACAGAAAATCTTTCTTACTCAGGACCGTAATGAGTCTTGTCTTAACTTAGTCAGTAAAAACTACCTATCAATCTAATCATTTATATAATACACAATCAGGTCATAATTTGTGGCCTTAAGATGTTCAAGCTTGAAGGCAGTAATTGTCATTAGAAAGTATGGCACTTAACAAGTGTCAGATAACCGAACATCTGTCCGGTATCTAGAAACGAGTCAATTCCCAGGCAGGTCGATGGCGATGTCCACACATAACGTATATATCCGTCTATGGTGGCAATTAGTAACTGTAAAGCAACAGATTCCTTTATCGCGGAGGCTAATTCCGAACACCTTTATTCTATTAGGGGACGGACGTGGCTGGTGCGCTGCCACGATGCCATAAAAACGTTAAAAACGGCCTCCCACCCGCGTTGCGGACACCTCGCCAGGCGTTATCTGATAAAACGCTATCGTAAATACTCGCGCCGATGCCACGGGAGTAAGTTCGCTCTTTCTTGTACGATGGACATGGTGTCGGCGGACGCAGACGACCGACGACGGGATGTTCCTCTTCACCATAAAAAAGACTGTCATGGTAACTGAAATGTCCGTAAGAGCTTTGTTCCAACAAACCATCGAACTAGTTCTGAACTGAACGGAGCATGTTCATATCGAAGTTACCGTTCCAACAGAAAATCGAACTGATTCCGTAACTAGCAGATCCCTGTTCCAACAATTTCCGAACTGGTTTTGAACTAGTTGTGACGGTTCCATCTACGAGAGAAACCCAGAATTTCGAATTTGATAGCGCATGCGCGTGCGCAGAATAAATGCGATCAATGAGCTGTTCATAGCTGGGAAGCTGGATTTTTTGGTTGTCATTCCGTGCATTTTCTGACTTTTTAACCTTCTAGTATAACAAATCTGAATCTTTACCTCTCATTGCGCCGTTTATTACATATATTGAAAAAATTACTTTGGAACAGATTCAACTGAGGATGAATATCTTGAATAATAGAACCAGAAATGAAAATGACATAGTCAAATTTTGATAATGTTAATGAATTTTTTTGAATCGTGTGTTATCAGTAATATTATTCTTATAAATTCCTTTCATTCCAAGTCAATTGATAGCTTATTTCTTATTTAAATAATATTATATTTCTGCTCTAATCAAGACATAACATCGTACCATTTCTTTAAAATATTTCATGTGATGTTAAATCTGCCATATCGTTTTCCCAATCTTTTTTAAAAGATTCATACTACGTCATAAATCAATAAATTATTTCAAATTCTCTGCAGCATACAGAAATTTTTCTTCAAATTGGGGTTACGTTTAGGTCAAAAAGCCATGTAATTATCTGTTCCAACAGAATAGGTCGGAACTATCCCTGAACTTTGGATAGTGTATAATTGCTATGCTTCTGTTCGTTGACAGAGAAATCATGCTGAGGGGTAGTCAAAAAGCACGAAACATCTATCCATGGTTAGCTGTCTTTGGTCAGACGCACGAGAGCAGAGCATTTTTATTTTTTTTCAATGGCAAGTAGACCACATCTACTACACAGCTATAATCGTCGCTATCTAGCGGTCACGTTAATGGGCCTTCAATTCGCGGCCTGAGATCTACGAGGGATGTCTTTTAAGTTTTGCATATGGAAATAAAACAACACGGTAGGTAGTTTTAAATGATTTTATTGTTTTTCGAAGTATTCTCCACGAAGAGTAATACACATCTGCATGCACTCGAACCAATTTTCGAAGCACTTATTCCACTCGTTTGCTGGCTGCGTCAACTGCTTCTTCTGGTGACTGGAACCTTTGACCACGCAGTCTGTTTTTAATTTTTGGGAAAGTAAAGAAATCGTTAGGACTTTCATGTAAAATTTTTTGAATTGAGGTCTTTGAGATCTTCAAGGACGCTTCAATCTCGCGATATGGCACATGTCTATTTTCAATGATGAGTTTGCGCACAGCATCGACGTTTTCCTGGGTGACTGCCGTTTTTGGTGCGCCCACCGTGGGATTGTCGCTAAGACCCGTCCACGTTTGAATTCTCTATACCAACGGGAAATTGTCGACTGATGTGGCGCTTCGTTGCCGAAAACAGACAGTAACTCAGCAAGGTATTCTTGTTGCGATAATTGTCTCTGAAAGTAATAAATTATGATGCGAAGTGTTCTCGGTTGAGTTCCATTTTTCTAATGACTTGGTGACACTTAAAAATTCACTGTAGTGAGAACACTGCACGTATTGTTGTGAAACTTTAAATTTAAGTTTACTAGAGTGAGGTTAAGATTCAATACTGGCGTTCGACCCACGCGGCCTACTATGTTTCTATATGCAAAACTTAAAAGACATCCCTCGTATGGCTGCAATTCACTGTTCCGCAGCGGTCGATGCTGGTGGCAGATGTCGCGTCGCGCTGGCTTATTTCCTCAGAAGTAATATTAACAGGCACTTGGATAAAATGTTGATTTGATTTTATATCATCCACTGATCTCTCAGCTGTTCTCTTATCCACTGATTACTACTAATTTTATAGCTAATAAAGTTTTTTCGAAAAATACGTGGTGACATTTTCTATAGCGCTAAACTCAAGTTAGCCACTTAAGGTGGGTCGATAGAACGTCATTACTCTAAGTAAAGTGTAGGCCATCAGTCGTTTTTTTTAAGTTGGTATTATTTTGACAGTTGGTAACACTTCCATACTCAACATATTGACAGATATATTGTGTCAAACTGCCGGTGTGAGCAGAGGATCGTTTTAATCTTGAACAGAGGTGGAAAATATTTAAAAACTATTTTCAAAATGAGTGCTGTGTTGCAGAAACTTTGCGAAAATTGAGAAGACTATTTGGTCGGAATGAAGCTCCGTCCGCGACTGGTATACGAAAATTCGTGAAGCACGTTCGTGAAACTGGCTTGCTTGTGGTTAATACAAGGTATGAGCGTGTTCGACCCGTACGTACAGCCGAAAACATTGCTGCTGTTGCCCAGAGTGCGCGTGAAAATGCAAGAATGTCAACTCGTCACAGAGCACAACAAGTGGCCATCATTCGCACTTCCGTGTAGAGAATATTGCATAAGGACCTGGGGTTATTTACTTACAAGATTCAACTTGTGCAAGAGCTGAACAAAATGACCATCCGCTTCAATATCGTTTCTCTGTGTGGACTCTAAATCAATTGGGAACGGACGTCAATTTTGGTCGTCAAATCGCCTTTTCAGACGAAGTCCATTTCCATCTGGGAGGTTACGTCAACAAGCAAAACTGCAGGATTTGGGGTTCTGAAAATCCACATGTCATAGAAAATCCAATGCATTTAAAAAGAGTAACTGTTTGGTGTGGCTTTTGGAGTGGTGGGATTATTGATCCCTACTTCTTCCAAGATGAAGATGGTAACAGCGTGACGGTAAACGGAGAGCACCATAGGGACATGAGGAGTGTTTTGTGGCCACTATTAGAAGAGATGCGCCGTTAAACAACCAGTCTTTTACACACTAAGTTCGGTCAACGCGATATCAGCCGTTTTGGAGACGTTCAGCTGTGATTTGACGCCCATGGATTATTTCCTAAGAGGTTCTGTTAAGGACCGCTGTTACACTAATGATCCTCAAACAATTGATGTTCGTCAGGAAAATATCCGTAGAGCTATCGATCAAATAGACCCACAAACTATTGAAAATGTGCTTCAAAATTGGGTTAAGATGATGGACTACTTCCAGGCCAGCCGCGGTAGCCATTTAACTGAAATCGTTTTTCATAAATAATCGGAAGGTGTATTCTTTTGAATAGTATCGAGTATCGAGTGTTACATATCATTAAAGAGTGTAGTTTCAATACCAATTTAAAAAAGAAACCAGCGGATGACCACCCTTTAGCTGGAAATTTTAGCTTGATAGACAAAAACGTGCTCAATTTTCCTATAACGTTGACTTATTAAGCTGTGTAGAAAAAAAAGTGTCGTGAACCTACAAAGCCAATAGTCTAAGCAACGCTACAAAGGTAAGCGTCCGGCTTTTTAGCTAAGAATCTAATTCTCTGAAAAGTTGCGACAAGTATACTTAAGGGAAATCAGATTATTGGCAGAATGCAGAAAAATTTAACCAATCAGATGAAAGTATCCTCGATTGTTCTACCTAAATATGACCAAATTTCTCTATCGCTCAAAGCGTTTCCTCCTTGGCGCACAATCTAACAACATGGGATATGATATACAGGGAAAACCAAACTTGTCTGACGGCTTGAACTCACTGTGTACGAGAAAGAAGCCGAGAAGTGTGTATCAAGACATGTTAGAAAGAGATAAAAGCTGCCTGAAGAGCGAAGGTCATCACCACATTGCCTAGCGATGTTGACACGGAAGGTCGTGTAATCTCCCATGTTACACCAGAAAATATTCGCACAGGCTTCTACAATAGGTTAGCTTACTGTCAAACGTAAAAAGGAGGTCTGATCGAATATTTAATTTAATATTTGGTTTTAATTTTGATTAGAATTATTTATTTCAATTCTGAAGCGACTTAATGTTTTGATTTATTCTAAAATTATCTTTGATTTCCACCGATGAAGATAAAATCAACACATCCTGAGTTATTGTTTCATTTTGTGACATTGAGCGGTCGAAAAATGTAACAAATACCATTACGCAACACAAATTAGCAAGACGACACTCCCCAATGAGCGCTAGACCAAAATCGCTCATGTGTGATCATCGGGGTGGAAACCTTGCCGTGGAATGTACGAGATGCGGTGATGCCAAGCTAACCAATTATGCAGTGTTGTAGAATTTGTGACTTTCTTGACCTTTCATTTCGATCTAAAATGAAGCACCGTTAGGACCAATTCGGAATCGATTCTAAACAGATTCAACACAATTCAGAAATCCTTAAGCTCAAAATAAAACCAGGATAAGAATTTTTGTTCCAAGTACCACTATTCAAAATCTCAACTCATTTTCTCAAGGAGAATCGCTGGATGAGGGGATGAAAAGTTGTACTAACGATGAAGATTGGGTAGCTGTTGTGGCATCTGCCAACAACAGGCAGAAAATGAAAGATATATTTGGACAATACGGTATCATTCACCGAGAGACTCTCACACAACCCTTCACACTCACGCAGATTCAGGCAGCAATTTTTCAGGGATTAACACCCCGTGAACTACCAGAACAATCCTTTAATATCCTTTTAGGGCCTGAGACTGCTGCCGATAATTCTGGTCTCGTTATTCAGGCCCTACAATTTGCTGACGATTTAACGAGGACCTGTCAAAAGAATTTGTGCTCGATGCTCGAAAACGTTTTATCGTTGCAGGGGGTTGCAGCATGCGCCCTGTCTTGCGTGAACCTAAAAACGAATTAATATGAGAGCAGCTGTCACTGAAACGACTGGTTGCTCTTTTTCACCACATTGATTTGGATGCCTTGAGCTAGAAATAATCGTCTTTCAATACACAAAATGGAGCACGCTACTTTGTTCCGACTAACGATTTCAGTTGTCTTATATCCACGATATCAAGGGATGCTGTTGAATGATACCGTATCGTTCAATGAAATTTTTACAGCGTAAAAATTAGTTGGGCCTTTGAGGGGATTTCCATTTTTTTTGCTGAAAGGACGTATTGTAATACAAAGTTTTCTTTTTCGAAAAACAGTTTATATCAATTTACAGCGCAGTCGACAGCCAGAACAAAAGTATCGAGGAAAACTGGCATCAAATGGGCATTTGACAAATAGCAAATTGGCTTTGGACAAACGGAATTTGGATATACAACAGGTACATCTGAGTCAACTTTTGCACGCTGTGGTATGTTTATTATTCGACGGCTATGGAAACACTTACAGTGTTTGATGTTATAGAATCAATATAATAATTGATTCTTTTCAAATGAACAGCTCTCTCAAGTTGCAAAATATCAGATCAACTTTTGTTCGACGAGCTCCATGACGCTAAAGCCTGAGATAGCATTAGCGTCGCTAAATTCGGATCGGACCCTCCGCATGTAGGTGGTGTTGTTAGAGTCACAGTCATAAATATTATACAGCATATTTGGGTTATTATGTCTGAGACGTGTAATATTCCCGGGATCAGAATTTTTGTAATAATAAAAGTTCAATTGATACCAAAGATGCAAAATGTACAATCCCTTACAACCTACTCAAATATCCACCTGTAGAAATTTATGCTGAATATCGCATAGTACAGTTGTAGTCACCATTCTTGGCGGTTACGTCGTCAAGGCCATATGAAATAAGTAAACAGATCGAGTCTCCGTTCCATTGACGCAAACCAATCTTCAGCGCATCTGCTACTCTCTCCAGGACGCATAAGTATGGTAACAGGGGATCGCCGTTTCCATTATCTTTCTGGAAATACTCTAATAAATTCAATACGAGCTGTCGGCCTTATCCATTGATCGTATTTCCCGATATTGTATAATTTTATATTGAAGATTGATAACTGGACAACTAAAATTGCACGCCGATATCAAGTAAGTTCTCACTGTGACAAATATGATTGAAGGGCACGCATACGTAATGACAAAGTTTTCGAGATGGAGACACACAACTAAGAAACGTATGTCTTTGAGCTTATCGAACAAACGTTCACACACATAGGTAGGTTGCATGTGTATGTGTGAGTGAGAAGGAGATATATAAAGGAATACTGGTAGTCTTACTTTGACGCGCCAAGAACTTTGACTACAACTATAGCAACCTTGCGTGAAAATGTCATCAAAATCTATACGGTACTGTTCAAGCTATGACAGACAACCAGACGCCCCGACGAAAGTAAGTGGTTTACAATATTTCCTCGCCAGTGGGATGGGCAGTAGAAACAAAAAACCTTATTAAACCATCTGGAAAATCATATTCTGAGATATTTCAGATCGCTTATTGCGGACCTGTTATCCAAATTACTATAATATTGCGGTACCCCTAGGTCCAGTACCAAAATCTTAAAGCTTCGTTGGAACAAAAATATTTTTCTCAAAAAGGGGTTTAGTCGATCTCAGAGAAGATATATTTCCCAGTATAACAATGTGGCTTGCCAAAACTGTCAACGTTTATCCATTACCACACAGAGTGTAGAAAATTGCAGTACTGTGTTGAGACTAATCCATCCACGGGGAGGTCATTTGACTATTACTTTATAAAAAGTTCGTTGAATATATTTAAAAAAAAACTGAATTTCAGTAGCATCTTCTAGGTACGTATCCCCTTATAGGGGCCGCAATGTAGGAATTTTTTTATAAGAACTTTTCACATTATTTTTGGTTTTATGTGTGTGCATCCGAGAAATGTATATCATATTCTAGAACAGCCAATATACTTGTACTGTCCATCCGACATAGTTCATGAGTGTGTAATTTGCTGAATTTAATCATGAGCTGAAAAGTAAACTGAGCTATCACGAAATTAAATGAACTGTCAAAAGACTGTGAGATATTGTAAGATATTAGTGTCCTTAATCTAAACTAGCTACTAATACTCGTACGAAAATAATAAAAATAACGAAATAAATTCTTGTGCAAGCACCACTTGCTATCATGAAAGTATAGCAATATTTCTACTGTATTAACCTATAGTTAGTTTGCAGGCTAATAAATATCCATACTCTACTTTGATCCATCCGCCCCCGCTGGGATCAAAGGCAGATGCTTCTTACCCTCAGAGGTCCAAGTGGCAGTGTGTCCCCAACGGACTAAGGTGCTGTTGTCCCTTTGCGACCCCCAACAGGCTTTGCGCCTTAATAAAATCTTAAAGACCGGCTGGATGCGATAAAAATACAGCACTGTGGATGTGAGGTGAAGAAGGCTAATTACGAAATTGCATGTCATTTACAACGGGATGTACAACTGTCGTTTCATTTTTTTACCCTCATCTCTCCCCGTTAAGCATTAGGAAATTTCACAATCATCACGTCGACAATGCTCATAGAAGCATTTGAAAATTATTTTTATTTGAATAAGAAATACTATAGCGACTTTGCCAATTCTTTGTCCTGCTTATTTGATATCTTAGATTTGCCAGAGCAAAGATATAATACACATCATTCAGTAAAATTTATTCTTTTAAATTCTATATCCAAATAATTATTTAAACTACTACTATTTGGATTAAATAATTAGTTTCACCTACACCAGCTATCTGATTTGGTATATGGAAGTATAATTAAACTGTTTTACTTAGATTAGGTGAACAAATTTTGATAGTTTTAAATAAATTGGCGTACTCAATCTTAGTAAGCGGCTTAATTAATTTACTTAAATTATTGCCTATTGATTAATTAAACGATTTGAATATTGGTTAATTTTATCGAGACTCGTCTTTGGGTACTTCATGTTTTTTGAATTCCTATGGCCCTAGGACCTTTTTGTGACTGGCGCTTCTGACGACTTTAGTTTGTTGGATAATATTTTGCAATTTGTGCTGATATTCTATTTTTCAAACCAAGAGTGCTAATGTAGTGTACATTGACTCCATATCCCAGTCACTTCTCCTTGTGACATCAGGTTTTTCACAAAAATATACAAACTAATTTTAAGAAATATTGACCACATCTTCTATTGTCTCATGTCAGTACAGCTATTCCATAGATACATACGTAAATTGTTCCATCGAATCTACAAGGCTGCATTTCTAATATTAGATCCATTATCAAGCATGATGCAGTTTATCATCGTTCGTAGCGTGTTTAGATAACATTTTTGTAATTTGTATATTGAATGAAAACTCACTTAAATCCTGTGTATTGTCAGCGGTAAGAATCAGTCACAATTTATTTTATTCTAAATACTGGTAAAATGTGATCATAGCTCACGTTAACCTTTCAGTGTCATCAAATAGAGTTTATTTTTCTCAAACCTAGTGAAAGTCTAACCTCAATGAAAAAAGCGGCACACCACTTTCGATCTTTGAAGATCAAGTCTTCCCACTCAACCGCCATAGAAAATATGACTCCAGTTAGGTTGACTGTATTCTAACGCAGATATTTCAATAATTAGAGTCGACCAATCATGTGAGACTTACAGGCGACCTACTTAACACAAATTTTTACAAAGTGAGTAACATTCACGTCTAGTAGTAGCTGTCAAATCAAATTTGTGAAAATATAGTCCCTTTATGAAGAAGTTAACTGTGCACAAAAATTACAAAAAGTTTATGGATCAAGTTTATTCAAATCGAAATCTGTCTAGGACCGTTGACTGGGTTATGATATATCTTAAAGCTTTATAGTTCCAAACCAATCACTTTCTTATTATAACCCAACTAACAATTATCACTCCTATTAGAGTTGCAAGAATGATTACACAGTATTCCTTACACAGCATTGTATACTGTAAGAACATTGGCAAAACCCTCTTAGAACAGCTATTCAAGCGGAATGGGCACACCTAATAGGACACTTCAGTCATTTAAGAGGTTGTATAAGGGCTGCAGGTAACGGTTATACAACAAAAGTGTAAGCCTCTTGCAGCCGCTATAGGACATTTGCTTCTGTGCAAGATTCAGTTTTTGTCAACTATACAACTATTCTGTTACGTGATTCTACTTTATTGCAACCAAACTATTTCTTATGTATTGTATAGACGAAGTGAAGAATATATAACTAACACATTACAGTCATCTTGTTTACATACATGTCGGCCATTGTGAATTTCATACACAGGTATATGATAAACTTCTACACTGTGATATAGGGCTATTGAATTACTTGCGCAGCAAAATTTATTGTGATTATCGTTCAAAGTAGTTACGCAATTTCTACGGGCTTCGTATTTGATTTATATTTTGATAATGATCAAAAGTATGTCTAGATTTTTAAGATGTAAAACTGAACTTATCTGCGTTAAATCTTCCACAAATCCTATATTTAGACACAATTACACTAATGTTTATCACTTTATATCTGTAATTTCGAACTGAAACATAATTATTTAATATTAAATACAGGAAAATATGTTTGCCCAATATGGCGGGTGGTTGTGTATAATCATGGCATCGTCCATGTTGTCTTTAGTTTATTTGAATATTTTAGTGTTGCCTGCGGGTGTTATACAACAATTTGACAAATGTTTGAAATGAAATACCTGCAGAGACGAATGATTTACCCAGAATTTGTACCAGATCTATATCTTCTGTTTGAACAGTTGATAAAACCTTTTGAACCAATATGCGTGCGTTGTTTGTCTTAAAATATTGGATATGGCATTCTAACAAAAATATGACAGTAGAAAGTTAGGTTATGGTGAAGTTCCACACAACATTAAGCCAGCATTTTGGTGCCCAGGCAACAACAATAGAGAGCTTTTATGACTGAACGGCTCTTTTAGCAAAAGCTTATAACACTACTTTGCTAGTTGGGAAGTTATGGAGGTACCAAGAATTAGCGGACAGATAGATAGAGCGATAGACAAACAGACTAACGAAATGTACATGTCATGTAAAAATTATAATATCTCATTTTCAAAACTTTCGCGATTACAATACTTCCTCGCCAGTGGAGTGGGTAGAATAAGTGAAAACACAGTATACGTTTGAATGCAGGCTCTTTCCCACAATAACATGCTAGTAACTGACACCTTCATTATGGAATTGGTAGTCAAAATTAATCATCTTGCCATTTCTTACCATATAAAAGAAACTCAACAGGCATATCGTAAAAGTGATCGTAATAATTATGCTTCTCCTTCATCTATAACAAGGTGACGCTAATTTGCTTACAAATTCCATCAACTCACTAACTACCTCGCACATCAATAAAAGTGGAAATTTTCACCATTTATGACCTCGTCGTATTCTGCCGGACGCCTGTCATCAACGTTTTACAAGCTCCCAATTCTTTACGATAGCACCGGTACCAATTATTGCCGAATTGTTTCAAATTCTGGCGGCGATAAAGTGACCAGCAGGTCTTTTGTGCCCAAAATTTATACTCCAGTTGTAAAATTGAAATTTTAAATGGTTTACGACTTATCACCACTCACAACCGTTCGGAGTCCCCGGCGTGAGCTACTAATGATTTTCAGTTTATAACCTTCTAAGACGACGAAGCGGCAGCGCCAATATAAATAAAGACATCATAATAACTTTGGAAGTTTCCGAGGATACAGAGTTGTGAGCATGCAGTATATCATTGTGGTAGTGCACACGTTGTAATGTCGAGGAGCTTTATTACGCCAAACGAATAACGGTTTTCCGAATTGAAACAGATTTTTGTTAAAATCATTCGAAGTAGCGGGAATTCATTGGAGAACATGAACGTGTGCCGTGTCTTTTTTTCGTTAATTAATAAAACACAATGATAAATACTATCTAACGGTTGGTCCAAGCAAAACAGTTGTCTAGTGGCGTGCAAATTTAGGCCCTAGCTCAATAAAGCGGAGAGTAGGGGGGGTTAAGAGCGCCAGTGACTTAGGACGGACTAAGCCACAACTCCCCGAGATATTAGTCGGAACATGTTTTGCTTGACCACCACACAAAAGGAGGATCTAACAGAGATGACGAAATTTAAGTAACAGTACACACAGAGAGAGCCAAATAAAACAAGATATTAAATGAATCACAATATATTGGTTAATAAAAAAAACGCACATGTGCTCCACTACTCTGCCCTCCTAAGCCAAACCCCCGTATTTGAAAAAAAATCGAAAAAGAGATTTTTGGCTCTACTGTACTAAAATGTCGTGAATTTTCGTTTTTTCTATGTTAAAAAACCGTATCTGAAGCGGAAATGTATGAAATCAAGTAATGCTAAGCCCGTATTCGCAAAAAAATTAAAAAATACTAATGCCGAACCCCGTATTTGTGGTTTACTAAGAGCTTTCCTCGTATTTTTAACTGGATACGGGGTTTTTGTCTAGGAACTTCCAAATACGTGGTTTAAGCCTAGCAAGTCGACCTGTCGCCACCTGTCGTACGCAACGCGTGCAGGCGCAGGCGGTTTGATTAATATCAGTTTGCTGGTAACCTCCAAGTGGCACGTGGCGTGGCTTTACCCTAGGATCTCAATTTCGACCACAACGATTTTATAAAATCTAGAACAATGTGCTCATGGAGTAGCGGAAGCAGAGGAAAAAAGTTAGTTTCCCTGGCTACTATTTCTAAAGTTAATACAGTGAATTCAGAGGAAGAGCCTTGCTTAAGCGCTCAGAATTATTATTGTGATGAAGATGTACTACAGGATGTACAGATGGAAGAATTCATACCAATTACCAAGAGTTGCGTAATTGATAATGGATCGATGACTATTCGATACATGGATTCAGCTGATACTGTTGGTGAGTAAAACTAAAATTTGGCTACGCTAGTGCATATTTTAATTCCACTGACCGAATAGAAATCCTTCCATAATTGAAAATAACTACCATGCATAGATGTAATCTGTACTTTTACCTTGTTACTGGGCAATTGCCTTTTCAAAATCGGCAAAACCATATGTTTTGATCTGATGTTATAGTAATTGTTATACTTTGGTGATAGAACGAATCCACCGACATAAAGATAGGACCTGATTCAAAATAGCTCATTTTCAGATCCAGAACATCATTCCACAAATAGAGGATACTGCTTGCAAGATATATCTAACAATGTGATTGACAAGGAATCTTGGAATCTCAGAGATATTTTAAGTTACGGTGAGCACAGCATACTAGTTATTAAAAATACCAGCAACTACTGTTCGATAGACCGTCCTTTTGAGAGTGATAGCTTTTTTTCTACTTTTTAGTGGATGGTCAGGCAAATGTGGAAGTGGAAGAAAAAAATATTCAAAATATGGAAGACGATAGTCGTGGGGATGAGAATAGAAGGGAACCTATGAAAAATGATGCAAATCAAATAATAGAAGAAACAGAGATTGTAGAAGAGGAGAATGAAACTAAAGGGTATGAGGAAGCAGGTAAGCGTGTACTATCTACTACTACAGCATTATTGCACCTGTAAGGTATAATTTCAGATCCATATGAAACAGTTGAAGGCCACACAAAAAAAGGCGAAGAAAGAAAAAGAAAAAAATACAAACTGTCCAAGGAAGTGAGAGCTGAAACTAAGAAAAACAAGGTAATCTCGCTTCATAAGGTCAGAGAAGGCTGTATAAACTGTAAGCTCAAATGTCGGACATTCTTTACCGAGGAGGAGAGAAACACCACAAACCACGAATTTTGGAAGTTGGACTGGAAGGGAAAACGAACATTTGTGATGAACTCGACAGAGAATAGAACACCAAAGAGAAAAGTAGAAGGTTCAAAGAAAAACAAGACATTCACATATTTTCTGAAGGATTCTAGTGGTACAACAAGACGTGTCTGTAAAATATTTTTCCTAACAACATTGGAATATAAAAAAACGAATGACTGGATAATCCATTCGGTGTGGGCAAATGCTAATAGCAAAAATCAGTTACAAAATGATTTAGACCGCCGAGGTAGGCATCCTCCTCCAAACAAGTTGTCTAATAAGATTATAGAAAGCCATATTGACTCATTTAATCCATCACTATAGAAGAGTCCATGCTCCTAATCGTCTATATTTGCCGAGTGACTTGAATGTCACCCTTATGTTTGAAGACTTTAAAAAAAGATATCCCGATAACATTTGCTCCTATGAAAAATATAGAAAAATCCTCAAGGCGAAAAATATATCGTTCGCAAAATTAGGAAATGAGGAATGTGAACTCTGTGAGTCGTACCATATGCATAATTCCGAACATAAAGCTGAGTCCTTAAGTGATGATTGCGAGGTCTGCTGCAGCTGGAAGGATCACATTATGAAAGCAAAAGAATCTCGTGAGAGATACTCACTAAATAAGGAAAACTGCAACAAAGACAAAGAAAATTTGTGCTTTTCTGTTGATCTTCAAAAAGTAATAATGTTGCCTAGACTTGAAATGTTTAAAAAAGCGATCTTTGCTTCTCGCCTAATAGTTTACAATGAAAGTTTTGTGCCAGTTGGTAAAATTAGAGATTTTCCTCCATTTGCCGTATTGTGGCATGAAGGCATCAGCGGACGACACCAAGAAGATATTATTAGCCTTCAACGCATTTCTTCTTCACCACAGGGATGTCCGCAATATCACTCTATGGTTGGACAATTGTTCTAGCCAGAATAAAAACTGGGCATTATTCTCCTTTCTTGTTTATATTGTGAACTCAACAAGTATATCCGCTGAGACCATTCACTTGAACTATTTTGAACCAGGTCATACCTTTATGTCGGCGGATTCGTTCCACCACCAAGTAGAAGAATCACTAAAGCGTCAAGTCAAAACATATGATTTTGCAGACTTTGAGAAGGCAGTACAGTCCAGCAATAAGGGAAACGTACAAATCAAATCCATGAAACTGAATGATTTTCAATTGTGGAAAAGTCTCCATTCAGTTAGTAAAATTAAGAAACAGGATCCCAGTTTTACTATGAGTAAAATAACGGAATTAATGGTAAAGAGGACTGAATTTGTGATGTACTACAAACGCAATTTTGAGGAAGAATGGAAGAAACTAGATTTTTTGCTAAAAAAAACATATTGGTGAAATGCCAACAGCCCCAATAAAAACGGCACCAAATGGCTTTGAGCGTCAAAAAGTTGAAAACCTGCTTAAAGCGGTTGGTTCCATTATGCCAGGTAACAGGAAAGAATTTTGGGAGAAACTTCCAGAAAAAGTTATCTAGTAAGTGTTCTTTTATTATATTTAATGTGTTCACCATAAAATAAAGTAATTAAAAGCTGGTGTGTTACTAAATTCATTTTCATCTACCAAGTACCTCAATTCCCAACGACTGATATCAAAAATACGATTATTATGACAAATATAAATTTGATAATGTCCTAGAACAAATGCCCGTATTCGCCAAATACGGGGTTATTGCATAGGAAATTGGTGTAACAGAACTAAAAAAAATCCTCGTATGGCAATTTATACTTGTAAAAACAATCAAACAAGGTTGTTTATGTAGACCACATAATGTTAGAGCCCTTATTACACAATATGGACATCAATTATTAATACCATGGACGTCCGTTAAAGCTACAAACAAAAAGAAACTTCAAATTGATATTGCGCCACTTTCCAATATTTCCGAATACGGGGGTTTAGCTTATGAGGGCAGTACTAGAGTGTGAGTAATAAAAAAAAGAAAGTATGTTATAAATCTTAAATACATCCTGACAAAGTTATTTTTCGAGATAACCCTGCGAAACGTGTACCATGGTATACGCCCGAAGTATTTATAGATATTTTGCGCCTAAATATTAAACTTATCCGTAGGTCTTCTTTGTCAGGCGCGGCCGAGATGTCCTCAACTTTGGTCAAAAAGTGGCTAGTAGTGGGCACGTCACTGGGCAGGGGCTACTTGCCTCGTTGCCAAAAATTATGGTAGTAAAAAGAAACCCTAGAGAGAGAAAGACTGTTTAAAAATCTACTCTACTCTCTGTCTGAGATAAAGCTAGTCATTGAAAACAATCGCACTTGAAGCAAAACCATGTACATTTTTTTGTACAAGAAAAGTAAAGCAAACGCAAAATAAAAGATAAAAATGTACTAAACTAATATACCCTTGTTCTAAAAAGTTATGGCAGCTCAAAAATCAAAATCATGATCAATGTAATAGAAGGTGCCACGTAGGCACTGCCCCCATATTTGAATACGTAGAATGTCCAATAAAATCAAGAAGTCTCAAAGAATAAGCAATAATAAATGTATAAAGATGTATGAAATTGTTAATTAGAATGATATTTTACCTGTTCACATCAGGTTTTTTTTTCAAGGGGATGGCTTCCACCGATTTGCAAAACTGCAACAAGATGCAACCAACTGGAGGAAAAAGGATGGTGATCCTCTTCGGTTTCTATTGACTAAAAGAAAGGAGATATTGAACGAACGTCATCAGGACACGCATTAAGGCGGCTCCGACGCAGTGAGTTTCAAGCCATTTACAAGGGTTCAGCTGCTTCAAAACTGACACTCCATTTTTCAATATTTCTGAATGAAATTCATACAGTATGTTGAGAAGATAATTGCCCAGGGTGCTATAGGAGCACTTTTTGAAATTTTGTTTTTGTATAAGTTTTATGATGGGTTGAAGTGCGCACTTTTTCTGTTCAACTTCGCGATTTTTTTAAAAATAACTTAGTGAAAAAAATTAAAAAGTGGCTCTATAGCACCTTGTGGGTTTTTTTCAGAACTCTGTGAAAATTTCATCCAAAAATATCAAAAAATAAAGCATCAATTTCGAAGCGCGTAAACCTCTACAAATCATATTTTGGACGAATTTTGTCTACTGTTTCAGGCTGCCAACCCAAGCGTTGCGGCGCAATGTACGGACTAAGAAATGACGTATTCAGATAATTTGGTGGCCCTATTTCATATAATATCGCGTAGATAATTCATTCTGCAAATAGGTACTCATAATCGCGATCGCTGATACTCCTCGATTATAAAGCCGTTTTACTTCCCACGTCATTGGCGAGGAAGTATTGTAATCGCGAAAAAAGTCATATGAAAAACTGTATCACTCATCAACTTGGAAATATAACCGCTCGGATTTTTATAAAATTTTCACACGGGGTTACTAGTATGCTAAAGCTTTGTAGTTTTAGTCCAGTGGCAACGGTGCTATAGGCAAAAACTAAAAAGTAACAATTGCTGAAACTCCGTTTTTGACGTTACATGGGTTCCTTATCATTGACAGAAAAAAATTGTACTGCTTAAAAAGTGGGGGTTGGGGGAAGGTGATTCTAAATGCTGCATCTTTGATATCACTGAAACACGTTCTATTATTAAGAAGCTTCTGATCCCAATGCTTACAGGGAATTCAAGTAACGAAAATCCGATGGTTAATGTGCTCATGCTTTGAAAAAATCGGTACCTGCTCTATAGGTTTGACAGCAAGAGCCAACAGATCTATCTGCAACTGCCAACAGTAGGGAAGAATGAATTCGGATATCACTCCAGTCAAGTATAGGGGAATTTAGCGTGGAAGTTTAAAATTATGGATATGTCAAGGAAATATGTTTATGAGAACGATAATTTGGTAGATTTTATACCTGCATTTTCATTTGAATTTCATGACCCGTGAAATGTACCCATTTCGCCGTTACCTTCAACTTGTGTGTTTGTGATGTTTTTCTGGATATAAGCAGGACATAATTGCCCAAGGTGTCTTTGCGCAAGAATTATCGTGGGTTGAAATGCTTACTATTTGTGCTCAACTTCTTGATATTTTAAAAAGACCCTAGTGGATAAAATCGAAAAAGTGGACCGTTAGCACCCTGTGGACTTTGTTTTTAGCACGCTGTAAGAGTTTCATTTGGAAATAATAAAAAATGACTGAATGCAAATCGGTTGTTGGGCGAAATTCGTCTACTGTTTCGTCGTGCCAGTCCAAGCGACGCGACGGTGCGTTCCGACTAAGAAAAATGTATTCAAATAATTTCATATATTTCCTAAAATAAATTCAAGGACTCTAATTAAAATTCGTTTATTCATGTCAGTAAACACAATTATGTTTACAAGGGTCATGTGATACATGGTAACAATTGAATGAGGGTATCTTATGCCGTCAAAATAAGAGGAAACAGTTAGGTAGATTTTGCAAAGCAATAAACAGGTAGGCTTATACCTGTATTAAGTACATTTCTTGTCTACTATAATAGGTAGATGGAGGCGATGCTGCCAGAAATGAATGTGTGCGATCAATAAACAAACCACAAGACTGAACTGCGGTGTCCAATGATTTTTGTATTGTCTTTTTTACCTTACTAGAAAACTCTGTTGGGTATGTGACGCAGTTTACTAGAAGTTTACAGCTTGTTGTCTGCCCTCTTCTACAAACTTCACCAAATCGAGACGCTGTCAACCTTATCCTCCGATGAAGGCGCGACAAAGTACAGTCCTGTGATTTGGTGACTGGTTCGATCTGCAAAATCTCGTCAGTATATGAATCAAGCGCCACACGGTGTGTAGGTTAACCTAGTTTATAAACAAACCGCATTTGAAAACTGAAATTGACTGATCACTATAGCAATAATGTTTGATGTTTACTGTGAGCGTATTCAAGAGCCTATTGATAGTCCGCGCTAATGTATGCAAGTATTTAAAGTGTCACCGTCGTTCTTGATGTCGTCATCAGAGCTACATAGGTTTATTTATATCGTGCAAAATCTGTCTGGGTGGACGCGGCAGAAGATCTAGGTACTCCCAAATATTACAAATTTAGTGAGAAGTAAGCAACCTCGTGTTTTTGAGTCGAACAACGACAACTTCAAACAGTAATTCCAAAAAAAAACATGTGACAAAGCTGTTCTTGGATTTTTTTTTTCATCTTCGGTGCTGCTTTACCGCAAATTAGCTCTGCTATTTAAAAGTAGTTGTTTTTGAATAGAAAAATTCCAGCTCTCAGGACACCCTGTATTTTTGTCGTGTTTTGAGAGCCCACACATCCACAGAATTGTCATAATTATAATATGTCCAAAACCAATCTGAAACGACTGGAAAAAAGTTTTTTAGTAGTGTAAAATTGACCATGTACGAGCTTTGTCAACATTGACTGCCCTCAGTACTACGAGCCCCTTCCCACTTCAGTTGGCCCACTTCAAGATTTGTACCAAGATATGCCTGTATAAACTAAACATGACGAAACTATTTACTTCTAAAACAATTTATTTTCTCAAAAACATTTTAGATACACTCTAGTCGTAAAAAATACATATTTGAAATTACTTAGACCTATAACTAATAGAACATCTGAACAAATAAACAATGAGCGAATAAATGCGCTAAGTTAAAAAAACAACAATTGAAAGATTACCATTGGGTAACATCACCTTTATATCTTATTACGGCTGAAATTTTTTGGGGCATAGTGTTAACCAAGTTTTGGTAAAAATTTGGTGTAAAACAATCCCATATTTCTTGAAGCTTTTGTCTCAGTTCGGTGATTGTACGAGCAGGATGTTGTCGTAGAACCTTTTTCATCTCGTGCCACAAAGTTTCAATAGGTGACAGATCTGGACTGCTAGAAACCCATTTCAAAAGTGGTACATTATTTTCTTCCATCCATTTTATAGCCTTTTTTGAGGTATGGCACGCTGCACCATCTTGCTGAAACACAAAATCTTGGCCGGATGTCAAACATTCTTCCATTACTGGTAAAAGCGATTCATCTAAAATTGCCAAATATTTGTTTGTATCCACATTTCCATCAATAAAATGAAGCTTTCCTACTCCTTTTGATGACATACTGCCCCAGACCATAATGGATGCTGGAAATTTCACTTGTCTCTTCAGACAGTCAGCATGGAATGCTTCATTTTTTTGCGAATAACTCTACTGCGACTATCACCAATACAAACTTTGAATCGGGCCTCATCACTCCATTGTATTGCACACCATTGTTGAGGTGTCAATTGATTATGTTCTTTAGCCTATCTAAGCCGATTTTTCTTTTGCAGTGGAGTTAATAGTGGCTTTGTTTTGGCCTATAAACAAGTTGTGCAACTTTAGGATTTTTACTTCACTTTTTTTTATAAGAAAACTTACCTTGCAAGTGCTAAATCCCAGTTTGTGGGCCTCTCTAGGAGTTGTGGACCTCGAAATTCTCCTTCCAACAGCGTCACTCCACAGAGCACTTAGTTGTAAATAATTGGCACGCCTGTTTTTCACGATTATTCTTCTTAATGCTCTTCGGTCGGTATTTGTGATATTACTCTTTTTCACATATCCTGGCTTAATATTAACTGAACCAGTTACGTTATAACTTCTAACAATATTCCTCACACTGTACCGCGATAAGTCTAACAAAGTTGCAATTTCTGAGTTTGATTTCCCAGAATTAAATATTTAATTATCGGTAACCGAATTTTCTCACTAATAACCTTTCCTCTACCCATTTTGAAAACCTTAACTACCCAAAACTAGTATAAACGTATTCTGATAGCTGTAATTAATAAAAACAATTGTCATGGCTTTTATTTTTCATAGCCACCTATGCATTATAGACTTATTTTGCATTGAAATGAAAATAGGTTGATATGCTGTAATTGCAACGGGTGTTATTTTTATGCTGCAAATTTGATTATGGAGTGATAAAGTTGGTGTTTTCTACTATATACTATCAAAATATTCACTGTTAATATTTTAAACCTATAGCACCCTGCTACATTTTTATTATTTGTGTTTGATAAGAAAAAAACTAAGATTTCAATAGTTGGACCAACTGAAGTGGGAAGGGGCTCGTATCAATATCATATTAGGTTAGGCTTGAAGGATAATTTGATGAATGACATCACTGTCGAACCGTTTGTGCTTCAGCACACGTTAATAATGTCTCCTCCAAGAATTTATAGTTTTGAAGTAGATAATACGACAAGTATAGCACTACCCATAAGCTTTGTCCATTTCCTCTAAACCGCTGGCAAGAATGATGCTGGTCTACTTGTTGGAAGTGTATGTACATACGCTGGTCACTTTGTGTGACGCAACATCTCAATTCAGAAGGTATAAATATTTAGTGAGATGCGATCTACGATGTGCATGTCCACTGCAGCACGGCTTCTTGTGAACGCTTCACCGTACCGCCAGCTAGCGATAGGTGATAAAATCGTGGCATGTGAGGTAAAGTACGCAACCGTTTCTTACCACGCCGCCACCGCCTTGGACAAAGGTCAAAATAATATAATGTATCAAGTTACCTACTGGTTGCCCGACCACAATCCAAGAGGTGTACGAGATATGCTTCTTTCTTGTACACTTTCGGGTATTTTATAGTTTTCTCGTACGCTGTGCATTCCAGTAAAATTTAGCGTTCCATGGAGAATTCTCATTTGACACGAATTTCAAAAACGAATGAACAGTCTATTAAACATCATCAATGGTTAATGCAAAGCAAGAACTGGACAAGTTGGTCTAGCAGACCTAAAATGTTGCGACATCATGAACCCTTATCCTGACTTTGTTAGTGGTTTGAATGCCCAGCAGATCCAGCTCATTTCCAGCGGTTATGGTAACCGGCGAAACATGTAATGCCCGTATGTCACGATCTAATTTTTCATCATATTTATTGCACAAGAAGTTGGATAAATGCGCAGTATTACTACGCACTTTAACATCCAATTTCTCTCAGCATTCAGGACGTGCTCTAAATTTTCCAAGAAATTGGATGTGAAAGTGTACAAAGGATATTTGCATATCCAAATTCGTTATGTCATTAATAAGAGGTTATGTTTACAAAACATAATCTTCAAGGATATTTTTCTTGCTAAGCATTTCAGCTGAAAAACTTTAAAAAATATTTAGATTACACACAGGTAACAGTTGAACGGGATGGTTCAAAAGTACATAATTTTTAATTCAAACCTAACCCCTTCCCAACTCACCCTGCATTCCCTATTTATACACATAACGATAAAACTCTGAAAAGAACAATGATTTCTAGACAGCATGACAATAAGCTCTTAACAGAATTGACGGCATGCAAATATTTGTAACAAAATATTTGATCGCTGCAAAGAGAGGGTACTTTCTTGTCCAATTTTTTGTCAAAGGAATAGCATCAAAAATTTGATCTTGACACACGAGCTTAAGACCCGCAGGGTTATTACGTTAAAAACCTATATAATTGCAGCAAAACCGATAAAATCTCAACTTGTTGACTAAGTAGATTAGTGTGAAAATAGTTCATTCCGCGCTTGCTACAAGTGGCCATGAAGTGAGCGACAGTTCTCCTACTATCTGAAAGAAACAATGCTGCTAGGACTCGATTATGTTTGTTACCGACTAGGGATCCTCGCACTAGCACCTTTAATTTCAACTACTGTAAAACGAGTAACCAACTGCAAGGTGATACTTGTTGTGTGGAGTTTCGGATATGGATGGTTTTTGGACTCATGTCAGGCTAACATTTTGAAGTTGAATTTATTGCAGAAGATGAAAGCCAGAAAGTAAAATAAAGGATATGAGAAAAAAGGTTAAGTAGTATAGAAGAAAGAAAGCAAGCAACAGAACATTTCAGGCAGCAAAGTTATCTCTAACGCAAATAGAGGCAAACTTAAAATTACTTCTTCACCATGGGGTTGAGTGTTACCCCCAAGACTGAACGTCAAATCACAAAAATGTTCCTATTTCAAGTCTGAACCCATCTATTGTCGCAATTTTGTGCTAGAACTCATACACAATGTCCAATAACATAAGACATTGCATAGAAGACACCCATGAACCTGCAGAGGTGAAAATTAACACCTATTCCAACATTATGCCATGCTACAAATTCCCGTGACTGTACAACGCCAAAATGTACCCACAGACACTACATATTCTAACAGAAGCGAGCCTCTCAGTATTTAAAAAATTAACCCGGATGTCTGGTATCGAAATCATCGAGTTCGGTTTTAGGGATCGAGACCATCGGAATCGATTCCATCTGCGGTGTCATTTCTTTGTGGCACTCATTAACACCGTCGAATGTTTTGGAATTGCGGAAACTGGATGCTTGGTTGAATGTATCTTGTTGGATGGGGTAGTTTTGAGCATCAAAATATTGAACTACATTATACTTCAAAGCTTCCACGGAATGATGACCTCACATACCTACAAAGTCGCTGTTAGTTCATCTTCCCAACTCATTCTCCGACACCACTTCACCACAAACATGGATGCAAAGTACTGTAATCTTAAAGCTATAGATCGGAGCTGCCGTACACGAATTGAGGTTATTAATTTGAAACAGGAATAATATATAATCAAAACTGATCTCTGCAAAATACCCTCATAAGAAATGAGAATGGAAGGCAAAAAATCATCAAATAGACAGGTACGATGAAATTATTAATACCATAGAGGAAGTCTGTTGTCCATCTCCAAAGTTTATCTGAGAATGCGATAGTTTGCTCAACAGAGCAACATACCATAGTTGATCGCAAGCCCCAGTATGACGTCATCAACAATAACGTGAGCTTTTTTCAAGCAGCTAGATAAGCTCAGCTGTAGTCACAGTACTTCTCTATTTATAATTCATTAAGTATAGTTAGCGGATCATATAGGCTTGTAGCTGCTTGAATTAGTATTTGATGCTTGTTTATAACGAGCTGAACATGGGCAATTTTCCGTTTCCTCTGTTTATAATCATGTATTTAATTTAATAAAATCTTTGTTGGTGTCGCTTTTACCAAAAGTTCGATGTTGAGTATCCGACCAGAGTAGAGTAAGTCTCTAGGGGTCGTAAGATCTCTGAGGACGACTCACCAAAGAGGATTCTAGTGCCGGGGTACTTAGGCCCAGGACCAGGCTCTCTCTGCCTCTCGTCAAATACATTACAATTTTCCAGGCTAAACTAGATGCGATTTTATCTTATCCATCCTGTATTCTAGAGTAGGATGGGTCTAGTAGAAAAATAACAATCTGCTCGGACAGCGAGGCCACAATTAAGGCCCTAAGTGCATGAAAAGGCTGTCGATAGTTTAGCAGCGAGGCGTCTGGAATTCTTGGGTTAGGTTAAGTTATTTATGAGTGAGTCATTCAAGATCCTCCAGTGTGACTCACTGCTCTATTGTGGCTCACGCCTATTTATATTTCTCCCAGTAACTCCAACCTCCTGAAAAAATCGATTAGCTTACTTGGAGAAATATCCGTCAGGTCTTCCACTGGAAGTACTATTCCCCAAATGTATTGTATTTGACTCTGGCAGTTGTAAAGCTTCTCAAACATGCATAAACCCCGTTCCATCTTCTCGTGTACAGTCTGCACAGCCTGCTCGTGTGACGCATCTTGCAATGTCCAGTTTACAATCCCACTAAATCTTTAAAGATATTCCTGTTTAGCTGCAGCAGTGAGTTTTCTTGTTAAGATAGGCATAGTTGCCTTGGTATGGGTTGACCCTGCTAATCACTACCAGTGTTAGTGTAGGTACGACAGGCTGGGGTACGTGGAAGTACTCCTAATGTGGCAGAGGCACTTTTGAGAGCGAGATCAGGACCAGGCTTGTTGGTTTTGGGCCAGCCCTTAGTATTCCCCTACAGAGGGATAGGGGATTAGAGAACGCTTTCTGAAATTTTAAAGTACTTCAGGCACAGGAGCTCATTTCAGGCCTAGTGCTAAGGATGCTTATTTCTCTGTACAGACAACTAAGGTGGGACTGTTGTTTGGCCATAACACGTTGAGGCGCCACATCTTTGTGGATAGGGGTGGATGAAGTTCCTAAGTTCCCATGGAATGCAACTAATTTAATTCGTTAATTTGTTGTTGCCCAGCGATCTCATCTTCTTGATGTGAAAGACATAATCTGAAGGAATCTTCAACAGATATAGACAAGGCTTGTGTTAGAGGGATGCTCATTGTAGAATTCATCACAAGATATGGCGATTCCTTCCACTTTACCCTTGACATTACACACTGACATGTACTTTGACCTTTTCGGAAAAAACAAGAAACTAATTTCTCCTAACAAATGATAACAGTTAGTGATGCAGATAGTCAATGTGCAAAAACTCCCGGTCTAGAACGCCACTGCTGAGAAGAAAATACCAATCAGCATATAGCAACGCTGGCTGTCATTACGCATGAATGGTGTGCCCCGCACCGGTACAGCACACAGACATCCATTAAAAATGAGCCGAGTATAAAATAGCGGCGCTTTTTTCCTCTCTTCGCTGAAAAGAGATATGGCGACCACATGCGTACACACACAATACAGGCCGCAACTCCTTCAAAAGTTTTTCATCTGAGCCCGCCTGCCATATATGCGTACGCTCAGGCAGTAACTTATCTAAATCTCCTCATGAATTTCGCCTCATGAACCGAGAGACCGGCGAAATATCGACGACAAAGCAACAAAGGACTTTAACGACTCTAACGATTGGATAAAAAATAACAATCAAAGGGTACCGCCTCGCTGGCGTAGTGGGAAGGTACAGCGATGGGACGCAATCAGGGAACCACCCTCTTCTATAGCGAGGTGCTCCTAATTTGCAGGTGTAGCTTTTACAAGGAGCCTATTGTCTATCTGCAGCTCGTCATTCATAGCGTCGAATATAGTGAGATTGTAAGCTCTTAAACAGATAAAAACCTCAATCAAAGAGCACCCTGCTTCAACTGGACAAGCTCACGTTGGTGATCTTCAAGAGTCTTGATATCTCTCCTAAGCGAACTTTCTTTCTATCTACAGCGTCTCATAACACTGGTCTGCAACATAAGATTTTGATGCTCTGAATCTGTTTCCGGTGGTCGATTTTTTCTATCATGTCTAGATTTTTCAAAATGAATTTTTTTGTGCTGACTTAAAAGTTGTCGCTATACTTACTGGATTGCAAGAAGGATACACCAAGTTCTGCTATTTTTTATGTGAGTGGGACAGTCGCGCGAAAGACAAACATCACCAAGTGAAAACTAAGCCAAAAAGAAAAAGCTTGACACCTGGACTTGAAAATGTATCTTAAGAACCTCTAGTGTCAAGTGACAAAATTTTTCTGCCATCACTTTATAAAAACTTTGTGAATGTTATGAACAAGGATGAGCTTTCAATATCTCAAAACAAAATTGCCTCGAATCACTGACGCGTAATTGAAAGAAGAGATTTTTGTAGGTCCGCAAACACGAGAACTTATTACGGATGAAGTTTTCAATTTGAAGTTAAACAAGGCTGAAAAAAACGTGTTCGACTTTTGTAATTTTCTCGGTACTACAAAAGCTGACAACTACCGACAAATCATTCGAGAGCTGCTTGTAAAGCTTTAGGATGCAATATAATAATAAACCCGTGGTATTGATGAGAGGGTAGCTGTAAACAGCCATGGAACAGAATCTGGCACCTTATGTGAATGAGTGGAGAAAAAGATGATGCCTCGGAAACAAACAACGTAAACGGGGTCACTGTTAAAGCACATAACTCCGCGTTCGGCAGGAGACTTGAGGTATCGCAGGAGGTATCTCTAGAGCTGTCTTCGGTCGTCATCATGCGAAATCCTCACCCTTCATATGAAAAAACACAAATCAGTGCTCAACTCGACACACCAACATTGGCAAAGGCTTTTAACTAGCGAGAGATAATAGGAGACGGTAATTGTCTATTCCGATCTGTGAGTTTGTATCTTTATGGAAATCAGGAACAGCATGCACCGATGAGATGAGAAACAGTTAGCTACGTGAGAAGATACTGGAAGGACCTTGGACACCATCTCGTCGTCACGGACCCAAATGTAACGAAAGATGCAATGAGCTATAGCTGCTATATGAAACAAAACAAAACATACGGAACCAGTGTTGAAATCCTAGCAATGTCTGATTTATACGAATTGAACTTTTACATCCATGCAGAAGATAAGAGTCCCAGAGGTAACACCTACATAACAGTTAACACCCCAACCAGATAATCAAAGGAGCTACACCAGCGAGATATGTACTTATGCTGGGAAATGTGGAAGCAGGACACTTCGAATTGCTAGAACCAACATGTCACCCGGTAAGGGACAGAAACCTCGATAGAAGCCAAAGCGGGGAATCGAAATGGAAGACCAGCAGGAGGAGCGACCTTCTCTCGACAAGAAGCTCATTGGCAAACAACCAGAAGTCGGTATCAGCGAGTCCCAAGATTTTAAATGTAGTCAAGGTACAAGCAGTAGCCAAAAAAAAACAAAGTAGTAAATGGAGGATAATGTGGACAAAGGACGAATACAAGGAAATTGTATTGTGTCATATTTGTACAATCGAAAAAAGTGGAACGACAAACTTGAAAGAAAGGTATGACCTATGGAAAAGAAGGAACCCTGGCGTTACCCGCAGCTTGAATCCAAATGCATTGGCAAACCAAAGAAGATACATTATTAACAACAACAAACTATCTGCAGAAGAAATAGGGGAAATAAAAAACGTAGTGAAAACGGATATCCAAGGAGAACAAGACAAGACATAGAGGCTGGTCGAAACTGAAGCTCAAAATCCCTATGCGCAAACTGCAGTTATGGACATGAGCAATAAATTAACATCACCAGGGAAATCTGAGCAGAACACAAAAGGCTTCCAGCACATGCAAGTAACAGAACTGATAATCCACATAGGTAATAAAATGCAAGAAGATCGTAGCAGCGAAACAGAGATGCGAAGTCTTCCAGTGAAAAACATAAATTACAACGAAAAAGCTAAAAGGATGATCAAGCTTGGTAACGATGCTATAAGACATATTACCAAGGGAAATCCACAAGAATACAATTCCATCACTGCCATAAATAAACTGACCTACGCAACCGCCGCTGTAATCCAAGATACACTGATACCCACAACTACTCCCAAACGCACAGCTTCAGAAGTACCACTATGGAAGAGGAGAATACAATCCCGCATTGGCAAGCTAAGAAAAGACCTTTCACTTCTGAAAGAAACATTCTGTGGGCCATTGTGTTAACCAAGTTTTGGCAAAAATTTGGTGTAAAACAATCCCATATTTCTTGAAGCTTTTGTCTCAGTTTGGTGATTGTACGAGCAGGATGTTGTCGTAGAACCTTTTTCATCTCGTGCCACAAAGTTTTAATAGGTGACAGATCTGAACTGCTAGAAACCCATTTCAATAGTGGTACATTATTTTCTTCCATCCATTTTATAGCCTTTTTTGAGGTATGGCACGCTGCACCATCTTGCTGAAACATAAAATCTTGGCCGGATGTCAAACATTCTTCCATCACTGGTAAAAGCGATTCTTCTAAAATTGCCAGATATTTGTTTGTGTCCATATTTTCGTCAACAAAATGAAGTTTTCCTACTCCTTTTGATGACATACTGCCCCAGACCATAATGGATGCTGGAAATTTCACTTTCCTCTTCAGACAGTCAACGTGGAATGCTTCATTTTTTTGCGAATAACTCTACTGCGACTTGTGGGCCTCTCTATGAGTTGTGGACCTCGAAATTCTCCTTCCAACAGCATCACTCCACAGAGCACTTAATTGTGAATAATTGGCACGCCTTTTTTTCACGATTATTCTTCTTAATGCTCTTCGGTCGGCATTTGTGATATTACTTTTTTTTCACATATCGTGGCTTATTATTAACTGAACCAGTTACGTTATATCCTCTAACAATATTTCTCACACTGTACCGCGATAAGTCTAACAAAGTTGCAATTTCTGAGTTTGATTTCCCAGAATTAAAAAATTTAATTATCAGTAACCGCATTTTCTCACTAATAACCTTTCTTCTACCCATTTTGAAAACCTTAACTACCCAAAACTATTTTGAACGTATTCTGACAGCTGTGATTAATAAAAGCAATTGTCATGGCTTTTATTTTTCACAGCCACCTATGCGTTATAGACTTATTTTGCATTGAAATGAAAATAGGTTGATATGCTGTGATTGCAACATGTGTTATTTTTATGCTGCAAATTTGATTAGGGAGTGATTAAGTTGGTGTTTTCTACTATAAATTATCAAAATATTCATTGTTAATATTTTAAACCTATAATACCCTGCTACATTTTTATTATTTGTGTTTGATAAGAAAAAAACTAAGATTTCAATAGTTGGGCCAACTGAAGTGGGAAGGGGCTCGTAGTACCCAATGAACAGAAAGGATGCATCAAAAACTCTTATGGATGCAAAGATCACTTATTAACGAGCCAAATGATCCATAACGACTGCAGAAATACCAAGAAGTCTCTTTCAATAGCCTGGATAGATAGAAAGCATTTGATAAAGTGCCGCATAGCTGGTTAATGGAAACCCTCAACATACAACGAGTGTCAGCAACGCTTCTCAGTTTTATAAGCAGAAGAATGACTGCCTGATACACCAAACTTAATTTAACGACACAATCGGAGACACTGACAATAGATAACATACAGATAAAAAATGGAATATACCAGTGCGACTCGCTATCACCACTTATGTTTTGCATGGCTTTGTTTCCGCTCAGCCTTATTCTGAATAATTCCAACACCAGATGTAAGAACGAAAAAGAGAGAATCGACCACCTTCTCTATGTAGATGACCTCAAATTAATAGAGAAAAATGACAAAGAGCTAGCGAAACAACTCAGGTTGGTCAAACAATTGAGTCACGATATCCAGATGGAATCTGGATAAATGTGTCAAAGCCGCATTTTATAAAGGCAGACTGCAATCGAGTCAAAATATAGAATTAGACAAACTAACAACAATTAAGGCAACATGATGTATATAAATATTTGGGTGTTGACGAACATGATGGAAGACAACATAAGCAAATGAAAACAATGCTAAAGAGTGAGTACAATAGAAGAGTGAGGGGTAATGTATATTCAAAACGGAGCTAACTGCAAAATACAAAATATCTACTATAACATCTTTGGCAGTTCCAGTGCTCCAATATAGCTTTGGTATAATTAAGTGGACAAATGCTGAAGTAAAAAAACTAGACTGCAAGACCAGAAAATTGCTCACCATGCACGGCTCACTACATCCTGAAGCCGATGTAGACCGCCTCTATATTTCAAGAAAAGATGGAGGAAGGGGCATGACCAGCATAGAAACAAGCCACTTCATCACGATTGAAGCCTTAAACAACTACTTACGTCTAAAACAAAACGACAAGTACCTAGTTTTGGTGTACAGACAAACTCTGAACCAAACAAGATCTGAAAGTCAATACCGGCATCTTGATGGTGAGGACTGCAACAACTATGAACCGGAAACAAAAAAAGTAAGAGACATCAAAAAAGGCTGAAACAGGAAATAAAATATGGAAGTGATGTCGGTCTGAAAGTGGAAACTGAGGCCCTTATAACAGCCTGTCAGGAACAAGCGATAGCAACAAACTGCATGAAAGCGATGGTATTAAAATCCAGCAAAGACCCAATATGTAGACTTTGCTGGATACATCAAGAAACCATCCATCACGTAGTCTCGGGCTGTCCTATCATGGCAGAAAGAGAATACTTAAATCGACATAATCTAGTTGCAGTACATCTAAACTGGAATATATGTAAAGACTATAATACAACAGTCGCGCCCAGGTGGTATGAATATCGTCCAAGCCCAGTTGTAGACAATTCCGACGTACAATTATATGGGACACGCAAGTGCATACAGATAGGTCCATCAACGCTAACAAGCCTGATATTATAGTCAAAGACAAGAAACTCAAAAGGTGCCTACTGATTGATGTAGCTATCCCATCGGACTACAATATCACAAAGAAGGAGGCTGAAAAACGGCTAAGGTACAAAGACCTCCAAATTGAGACGCAAAGATTGTGGAATATGAAGACATTCATAATACCAGTAGTGATAGGAGCCACTGGAATTGTATCTCACAAAACGTGTGAAGTCATTGAACAAATTGCAGGAAAACACAACCTTCTCGCGTTACAGAAAACAGTTGTGTTGAGCACCGCCCATATAGTGAAGAGTAATCTAGTATGTGGAAGCACCCTAGGCGCCCGGTGTGCGCTTGGTGTTTTTACCAAATGCACTACAGTATATCACGGCTGTGCGAAAACAGGAAAAATAATAATAATAACAATAATAATAATAAACGTCTCTTTATTGAAGGGCAAAGGTTAGCTTGAAGCTATTCTGCCAATTAACCCTTGAAAATTCAACAAAATACAATAACGATTATAATTATGTAAAAGAATATATCTAAGTATACTAATAGCAAATAATAAAAATTTAATTATACATGTGAATGTACACAGAAAAGGAAAAAAAATTGCGAACTGGGTGGTCAAACTATGTAGGTGAGTACTTCTCTAAAATGAATTACTTCATTTGTTTTTTAAAGTCATTGTAATTTATTGGTTTTAATGCCTGAGGTACTTCATTATATACGTTATCACGCTGTATGTGAAGCACTTATGAAAGAATGACGTTTTGTGAAGAGGCATTGTGAGAGTCTCGGTAAATCGTCACTCAAAATCCATTCTCAGACTCGCATGTAGATTTGTTTCCGGAAAATCTCGGTGCCGTATCAGATAAGCATGATGAAAGGTTTCATCAGGATATTATGCATATTGAAAGACGCTACAATGGAAAATGGTCAGCAGCAATGCTTGCTGATTTTTGGTAGTCAATTCGCCGAGAAACTTCGATGGAAACGATGAAAAGAACAAAACTACAAAATAACTTGAATTATATCATCATATTGAGATAAATATAGTTATTTAACTGGCGACTGTAAAATTAGCATATTTCGCTGTAAAACTTAGGCCGTAGTATTTCTTCACTTGTTTGTAATTGTTGTTACTTTAATAATATCATTTTTTAATTAAATTGACATTATACGTATATTTAAAATCTATCTGCTGTATTTATTGGCATGTCAAATTCCGTGTTTAGAGTACCAAATATGATATTATGCATGAAAATATTGAGTGATGGCCATTTATGCGTATACTTTAATTGTCTACGTTTCGATGTAGATCAGGGTATATAATGTAAACAATACGTATACAATGATGTAGAATGTAGACCATATATACAATAACATAAGTGAGGTTAGGGTTACTCGCAAATGTCAAAACATTAGTAACCCGGCAACTATTAAAACGAGATGGTTGAGCGCGCTAAAAAGTAAAACAATTGACGAACTGTTCAAAGATGTAGGGAAATATTCTTTCGAGTGCTGTATCTGTGAAGTGTACATTAATTTGAAATGGACATGTTGCCTCCTACCTGCGCACAATGTATTAATTATCAAACTACATGCTTTTGAATACGTATATGGCAAGGGAGCATCAACCACGATCCTGAAAACTTAGTCTTTCAATATGATAATTTGAGAAACCCGTTTCTACTGATAAGCACACTTGCGAGTTAAAATAAAAGTATAGACTGTATGTAACATTATACTTATAGAGCTGGTCCCAACGAGCGGCAAATAAACACCGAAGATGTTGCTGCCAACATATCGTAACGAGCATCAACACTTCTACTGGTATCTTTTTCTTCTTGTGTGGAGTGTTACGTGAATTAGGCCCACCCACTCTGCAAAGCCACAGTTTCGTGGACATGGAATAGAGGCCTTTGATAACCTAATAAAAGTTATATTGTCTGGACATAAAACAGGCAGCGATATATTTTACGTGAATCACCATCTCGAATGTTTTAAAACTTTCATCAACCGTCGGAATAGCATACCTACCTCACATGTTTATTGATAACTCTTGGTCTTTAAATCCACAGGGCCGTGTTGAGCTATGTAGACTATGTACATAGGATCGCGGGGCCTGCTCTTGAATAAGCTCCAGGGCAGAACAAGATGCTACATTTATTGAAACGATTTCCTTTTTTTTTTTAGATTTGTTTTTAGGCATTCGGATCCCCTATCAAGCCGGGCACTTACGCCTTGTACTCATATGGTGAGAATTGAAAGAACTTTTTAGAACTTCTAAGCCAACGGCTTCTATCGAAGCATGGAACAGGCCTCCATTCTATTCAGTGAATTCGACAAACATGAACCGTTTCAGAAACAATAATGATAGACACCGCAGTACGTAACAAATTGTTCTGTGTGTCTCCCCCCGAAGTGTTACAGATCTCCACTAGTGTATTACATTTATCTGCACACTATCAAGTATGATGTTTATAAGTTTATAGTTTCAGGCAGCAACGGTGGCCGCAGTAGTAGACTCTTCGGTCTCCTGATCAGTCGCCGTGCGCTGTGCGGGTTCGAATCCCCTCCCAGGAGAAATTTTTCTCTTCGCTATGGATATTGTGATTGTCCGTAGGTGGTAGAGGGTCTCTGACTGTCAAACGCGGAGGTACCACCCGCCGGATCTCGTAGGCAGGGCCAGAATGTGTGTTTGTTGCATGCACACGGGTTCCCTCGCCAGAGTCCGTGTG